AAAGCTACAAATATGCATAAAATTTAATGGTTCTCCCAAAATATGATTTTTGGAACACATAAAATTATACCTTTGTTGATTATTATTGACTGTCTTCTGCCAGGAGGCTTTACTCACACTTTCTTCAGTTTCATATTTCTTTTGTTCCTAAAAGATTTGGATAATGTGTTACATAAAGTTGTTACTTCTCATCACATGCCAATATTATGGCAGAGCCCAACAAACTATTTCTACTTTTATTTTTATTTTTGAGACACTGTCTCTCACTATGTAGCCCAGATCACAGTAATTCCCCTGCCTCAGCCTCTGGAGTGCTGGGGTTACAGGCATGTGCCACCATGCTTAGCCCCAATAAACTACATTTTTTTTTCCTTCAGAACCAGGGATTGAACTCAGGTCCTTGCGTTTGCCAGGCAAGCACTTATTCTACTGAGCTCTCTCCCTGGGCCCCCAATAAACTACTTTTAAAACCAAGGAAAACTGTATCTTCAGGAGAACAGAATATTGAAATAAATAAGTCACTTAAATAATCTTATAGTTTTCCTTTGTTTTGTGCAATTTAGTTACAGAAATACTTAACCAGGGTTGCCAAAATGGGTAAGTTTATACAATGATTTGCTTGCTTGCTTTTTTTTTTTTCCTTTTTTTGGAGACAGGGTCTTGGTATGCAGCCCTGGCTGGCCTTGAATTCACTATGTAGTCCAGGCTAACCTCAAGCTTGAAAGATGATCCTGCCTTAAAGTCCTGAATGGTAGGATTACAGGCTTGAGCTACCATGCTGGTCTTAGTTTGCTTTTTCATTAAAGAACACATAACTCAAGATATGGTTCAGCATACTTGTCAGAGATGGGGATATAGCTCAGTGGCATAGCACCTTCCTGGCAATCACGAGGCCCTGAGTTCGATTCCCAATACAAACAAACAAAAACAAGAAAGACCACAGCATATTTGTCATTTAAAAAAAATCTTTCCATCACCAAAAGCTACTGAAATTGGATGGATACACATAGAGAATAAAAAGTTTCATAAAGTAAACCTATTTTTTTCTCTCATAGTGCAAAAGTTAAAATAATTTTTTCAAGCCCTGGTGCAGGAGGATTACAAGTTTGTGGCCAGCCTAAGCAACTTAGTGAGACCTTACCTCAAAATAAAATACAAAAAGGCTGGGATATAGCTCTGCGCGCGCGCGTACACACACACACACACACACACACACACACACACACACACACACAATCTTTTAACTAGTGATAGCTCCACTGACTCACCTCCTTGATCATGTTGACAAGGTCTGGTTTTGAGGATGCACTGGGTGGGATGCATTTGTGACCACACAGTTTTAAAGCACTCATAAGCAGGTCTGCTGTGCCCAGTTCTTCTCCAGTCAGCTCATCCTCATGATTGTGTATCAACTCTGACAGATACAAAACTAACTTGGCTCCATGCTTCAAAAAAATCAAGTTGGTTTTAGTGATGAAGAATTTTTATTTCCTCCATTTAAATTACTGAACAGTAAATTTAGTTATATTACTAGATATATCTGGTTGGATCTGAGGACAAATGAAGTTTATGCAATGGGTATCTGAAGGCATTAGATAATTACTGCTAATTCTGTTTGGTACAATAATGTTATGGTTACACAAGAAAATGTCCTTTCAAATATAATCTAGAAAATGTCATAATTTCTATAATTTACTTGAAAATAATTCAGAAAATTAAGAAATAATATCAATATGATAAAAATATTAAAATCTAGGTGATGGTTGCATAATATTTATTCATTATACTACTTAGCACTCACTTTTACATGCATATAGGGGGAGAGGCTGGTTTGGGTCAATCTATGAACAAACCCTAAACCAAAATTAGAGTATAGTATTTCTTAAGGTAATGACAGCTGTCATTTATAGGGCAACTTGAACTAAATTTTCATGTTTTAAGTGGGCTCTCCATGTTTATGGGTATCATACCTGATTGTAATGTATACAAAATAGACAATTTTTCCAACAAGTTAAACACATGTATTTTACTTTAATGTTTTTGCATTATACAAATACCATTACATGTTTGTAAATAGGATCTCAAGTCCGCATCTTGTACAGCAATTAACCACTAAGAAGAATATATGCAGTGTATTATTTGTTGAAACTGTACTTCCGATTT